CACATTAACCCAGTATTGTATCCATTGTCTAATACTACTGAACGAATGGAATACTCTCAATCTTTGGCAGTAAGTGTCATGCATATAGTTACATGTATGCTGGTATAATTTATGTTAGACTTGGAATAATAATAACTAGAAGTAATGTAGAACATTTAAGGGGCGAGCCTAAGCTAGCAAAGCAATTATATGGCACTGGATCTATCCATCTATAATCTACTGCTGATGATTTCAAAGCATGCATCATGATTTAGGCATTGCAAGCATGATTTACATGATGAAAGTTTAATGCTGCTGATAAAATCACTTGATATCATTTATTTTATTTAACTTTTAGTCTTCTAGTTTCACAAACACATTTCTTGCCTATAAATGTCTGTAAAGATGCTTTACTTAGCTTTAGATATAATATTATCCAATATTAAGATGACTGAGAAAAAGCTTGATTGACTTTCAGTTTTAATAGCAATTGCATCAATAAAGACGAGCTTCATAGGTTATTAGTTGAATTTAAAACCTTCTATAGCTGCTGGAGAAGTCTTTGGACGGTGTATCTGCCTTATATTGCTGCTAGAAAGCTCATGAATTCTTCCAGTGTGTTGGTTGCCATTTTTATTTTACTGTGACCACTCCCACTTGGATCCATGAAAAATTGAAAATTGCATTGGTAATGCATAGTATCTACCTACCGTATTAGATCTACGCATAAATAGGGGTGACGTACGTGGACAGACAGACAGACGGGGCGTGACTGAGAGTTTAGCTAGAGTGGGGCGAGCTCAGGCTCGCCCCAATAATTAATTTAAAAAAATAAATCCCACCTTTCAATCTATGAATGTGTAAAATTTATTACCTTAGAGTGACTTTTAATTGCGGGTACTAAATTTTGCGATTTTAGCACAAGGTAGATTTTGCTGGTATTAAAAATTGCGATTAAGTAATTATTACTAATAGTTATATGGCATCATGACGTCATTATTAATAATTGCGATTTTTAACCCAAACGCAAAATTCGCAATTAATAGTACCCGCATTTAAAAGTAACCTTAAGGTATATACCGTACGCGTCTTAATTTTCGAGGTGTATTAAATTTCGTTATTTTCGTGCTCACCTTAAATCCACGAAATTTAAAACACCTCTAATGCCATTCTATTGTATGTAGACTATGGCCAGAACACGAAAATTAGCTCACACGAATATTAACTTTTGAGCAAATTTCATTGAAAACACGAAATTTTGAACCCTCGAAAATTTGGACGTATACGGTAGGTGATAGCCTATTTGTAGGATTGAGGTTGGTTTTTCAAGATGGCTGCCGTTTTTATGATTTTCAAACA